AGTTTAAAGTTTAAAGGACTCTAAGAGCACGAAGGAGACAAACGTCCTGTTTGTTTTCCATCTTCAGATTCTTGTGTGTGTACGTCTGTGTGTTTTAGGTCGTGTGGTGAACGTCTCCAGCATGAACTGCGTCAGTGGTTTGAAGAAGTGCAGCCCGGACCTCCAGCAGCGTTTCCGCAACGAGAACATCACAGAGGAGGAGCTGGTGGAACTGATGCAACGATTTGTCGATGAGGCCAAGAAAGGCGAACATAAAGAGCGCGGCTGGACCGACGGGGCCTATACAGTGTCTAAAATTGGATTGACGGTACGTTTGATTAATGCGTTCGCTGTTATTAACCAGAGCCATGAAGATTTGACCTAAAACCATATTATGAGACACTGATTATATTTCTGTGTGGATGTTTTTAAAGGTGCTGTCCGTGATTCATGCTCGTCGTCTGACCAAGGAGAGACCAAATGACGGGGTAACTGAAATATATAACTAACAATGCAGAACTTCTATATTCAGTGGGGTTTTTGTCATGGTTTTATGTCCATTAAATCGTCGTTGCTAACATTTTGTTTTTAAATTTAATTCTTTTAAAAGATCCTGCTGAACGCCTGCTGCCCAGGATGGGTGCGCACTGACATGGCTGGACCAACTGCTCCCAAGTCACCAGACGAGGGCGCTGTCACACCGGTCTACCTGGCTTTGCTGCCATCTGGAGCCAAAGAGCCTCATGGAAAGTATCTCTCCGACAAGGAAGTCCAGCCGTGGTGAAAGAGAGTTTAACATGAAAAATAATTTGCAAAGACAGTTTGTCTCTGAAAAGACTGTTCAGAAGTGGTGATGAGCGTGTGAGACTCGCAGCGTTTCCACATCAGCGATAACAAAATGGGGTGAAATCGAAACTGTGAAACATTTAACGAATGAAAGTCACCCAACATAAAAAAAAAACTGTAACATAAACTGATATTGCTAAAGCTCAGGGATGTTTTTTTTAGGACAGAGTTTAACTCTTATCCAAATATTTTGATAATAAAACCAAAATCGTTCATTTTATTCTCGGTAACAGTACAGTACTGTGTGTGTGTCTGCTAGCTGGAACGAATCAAAATAAAAGTGAATCCGTGAAATGTTTGATTGTTAACAAAGCCTTCAGTACATAACATTTTCATATCTTTGACGTCATAAACTTGCCTTAACTGGATGAAGCTAATTGTTCAGAATTACTAGAAAATGTGTTTGTTTTATACAAAATGCTGTTTATTTGTGTTTGTTTTAAATAAAACATGTGGATCTCCAGTCAAAATTGTCAGGGCTCTGTGTGCGGGCAGGCGGAGAGGAGGATCCAAATGCAGGACTCGAACACAGAATTGTAACTCAAAAAAACCTCAGCTTTATTTGCTGGCAGAAAACAAAAGATGAAACTGATCAATGGTACTGAACATGAAAAACTGACACAAAACCACACAGGCATGATCTGATGGTACGACGCGACACCGAGCACGGGAAAACACAGGGCTTAAATACACAGGGTAGTAACGAGGGAATGGGCAACAGAAGGGAGACACAGCTGGGAGAGATCAGGGCTAACGAGACAGGGGGAACCAAGCTGCATACACTAACTTAAGACAAAGACTTTCACAATAAAACAGGAAACATGAATTACTAAACAAGAACGCAGATTCGACACTGAGAGACAAAATAACATGAAACTCAAACAATACATGAAACCACAAATCCTTAAGCACAGCTAAACAGAAACAAGAAACTAATAATAATAATCATTATCACTACAAGAGAATAAGAAAACAATCCATGAAGCAGAATTAAACCAAAATATAATAAACTCAAAATACTGGGTCCAACGGACCCAGAACCGTGACAAAAATACCAAATAAAGTGACTTCAAAACATAAGGGTGAGTGGTCTGAATGTTACAGTGTCCCCGTATTACACAGAGTGCATCAGCCACTCCTCCACCATCTTCACCTTTTCTTTGGTTTGTCCAGTTTCCTCTTCACGTTTCTGTAAGGAAATCTGTCTCCAGCATCTCGGAGCTCTTCTTCCCTGGACCAGTTAAAACCCTGTGAGAGCTGCCAGCTGTTTTTGTTTTTAAAAAAACAACAATTTCTGGGATATTTTCTCTATGATAAGATTCTTTAGAACATTTTTGGCCATCTTGAGAATAAGCAAACCTGTAAACGCTGATGCTCTGCACTTAACCAGCATATAAACTATGTCTGTTTAATCAGGACAGCAGCCACAGCCTCTGTGTCCTTCCTCAACCCTGAAGTCTGGACAGCATCATCATCGCAGCAAGGAAGATACCTCCGTATCCTGTTCTTGCAGCATATAAT